AGCTCCTTTATTTCCTTAGAGATCCCCCCTGCCTCAAAGCTTTCAGATGCATCTAAATTCACAGATGAACACTCTCAGCACGAGGGACAATGTGAGAGTGGTTTGTTTCTACACTTACTGTTAGGTCCAGGATATTCACTGACATCTGTAGTAACTAAAGTAGTGTATGAATTTGCATTTGTAGCTAATTTTAATAATTGCTTTCAAGTTAAATCTCAAGACTACAGAGGTATGAAAGTGTTCTGATTTATTTTACAATTAAATAAAGGGCTTTTTGTGTTGTTTGGTTGGTTGGTTGGTTTTTTTGGTTTGTTTGTTTTTTTTTTTTTTATTAAATGCTTTTGGAACCACAGACTGTCAAGCAGTCAAGCCCAAATGGGTAGGTGCCTTTTGAAGGGGTCCAAATGGAAGAACAATGTCTTAAACATACATAAGTTTGGTTACAACAGTAAATATTTACTACAGAAGTATGGTACCTGGACAGTAAAAAAATAAAGAGGAAGAGAGGCAGTACAATTTTATGTTTTGTTTGAACAACAGGGAAAGGGTTTGAGGAAAGAGGAATCAAACTGGGATTCATAGAAAATTGCCTCCTTCATTTCACTTTTTATAGGGATCATTAGTGAAATCTTCTGCTGCATTGATGTACTTTCACTGCCCCCTCCTCTGAGCTTTGCCAGCTGATAGCAGCTAAGGCTGGCTGATGTAATTCTCACTTTCCTTGTGCTGTAGCCTTTAACTGTGTGTTTCTCACTATTTAAGTCTGAGGGGTAGAAAATAATTCCTGCTATTAGAAATAGGTTGTGAGCTTTGATTTGGAGTCAGTAGCTGAAGAAGAGGTGAGCAGAAGGATGGCAATGAAGAGGCCTGGGCTGCTTTGCTACAGGCTTCCTGTGCCACTGAGCAAGTCAATCTCCCTGTACCTGTTTCCCAGCCATATGTAGGGATAATAGCTTTTCCTTAGCTTATTGCAGTGTTGTTAGGATAAGGACTTTGAAGGGATTAGGTCCTGTAGCTGGAGGCTTTAAAAGCACTTTGGATGGATAAAACAAGTTGCTGAAAGCAGCTATCAAGGTCCTAATGTAAACCGTACCAAAGTCACAGTGGTGGCCTGGCATCCTCCTGGTATTCGCATTGTGCATCTCCCTTCCCCAGCCTGAGTAACACAAAAATTTCTTCTATGTAGCTCACACATGTGAACAAAAATGGAAGTACGTGTCAGGCAGCTTCCCAAAACATTAGATACACGGTCATCCTTAATGTTCTTTCAGCCAGTGCTGCAATGGAAAACAGTAACACTGGATATCTCCAATTCTCTCTTACTTAGAGTTGCAGCTCCCTTTAACTGTTAGAGCTAAGTAGTAAATTGCTTCTAAGATATCCAGGTGAGATAAGAAATCTCTTAGTCATGATTTTGACCTACCAGTTTCAGGCTCAGCAAGTAACCAGAAGAATTGAGGACGTCTGAGTCAGCTGAGACCATTTTACTGAATCACTAGGACAGTCCCCAAATGTTTCTTCATAGGTGGCTGCATACATACACAGATCCAGCACCTGCTTGCAATCAGTCGGATTGCTCACGTGCTAACTGAAGCAAAATCTGGCATGGTGGGGGGTGAGGATGTAATTAATGTTATATAAAGAGCGACCTAACTGCTGAGGCTCTAAGTGTGGGGTGTTGTCCTGAAGTAACTGTGCTCATCACTTTCCCAGAGCGTGCTCCAGTGCTCTGACATCGCAGGGTGGTTGCCATTTAAGAATATTTGCTAGGGATTTATACCCTTTTTCACCAACAATAATAGAGTTTTGTCCCCCCTTCAAAATTAATTTGACCTGTGAGTGAAGATTCTTAGCATCAATGGTAACATTTTTCCTTTTCCTAAAAAAACAAAAAGTACACAAGTCTGATGGCTAAGGGCCCAATGGTGGAGCTTTTATATGGTTTTTGCATTCTTCTGTAGTTCCCGAAAATCATGCCAGGCCATGAGAAATTGGACTTTAAAGTTGTGATGCTTCCTGTATTTCAAAAGAAAGCCTGTCTAACATAGTGCTAATGTTTTGCGTAAGTTTCTTTGAATAATGCTTCTGAGAAATTATAAGCTGATATGACAGAGTACAGAGGCAATAATAGAAGAATTACGTAAATGTAGGCTGGACTTTCATTCTAGCGTTTTTGTACGAAGATATCCCGGAGAATATTGGTGCTTTCCAGTGACGTAAGCCTTCAATTCCCTTCTTTACTAGAAAACTTAGGTTCAAAGACAAACTTAACAGATGGCTTGTGGGACTGGAGCCACATTAGCTCACAGAGGTACTGCCTTCTGCTGCTGCCCAGCCAGGATGGTTTCTACAGAGCTCAAACACTGGTAGGGCTGAGACCCCTCTGTCCTGTTCTGAAGTGCCTTGGGAGGCTGGGAGGAGGAGAGGTGATGCAGGTATTTTTGCACTTGTTTTGTCTATTTTGAATATTACACACTGCCTAATGTTGAGAGAGGGCTCATGCCTAGTTAACCTGCAAGATCTGCTGGTGGCATTAAAGCCACATGCTTAAGGACTGACTTTCTAGAGCCTGTCTGGGAACCTGTGCTGTCCTCTCTGCAGCGGGTGCTGCATCTCTTCTGGTGAGCGCTCCTCTTCTTCTGGCAGCTTCATTGCTCTGACCCACGAGGTCGTGAGTGAGGCATTTGTTCTTACTGTGTAGGGAGAGCACGGCTGCAGAGACTACAGGTTTGGAAAGAGTAGCTCTGCACTGCAGGTAGGACCCAGCTCTGGTTACTCTTGTATTAGATTTTATGTATTTAATTAAGATGGATATGTTAATTACAAGCTTGCTGTACTGTAGCATGAAGATTGCTATCTCTCTTTGGTAGTTACAGTAACTCCTGCTGGATGGTCAGGGCAGCTGTAAAAACACCCACTCTTCCCATCTATTCCTCCCTTAACACAAGGACCAGAGAAGCCCCAGGAAATACAGTTGAAACCAAATTATGTGGCAGCAAGAACGCTGGAAGACAACAAACTGAGAAGTGTCTACTTCATGCCAAATCATTTTAAGGACAGCTTAGGAGGTGCAAAAAAGATGAAAATCACTGGGCAGAAAAGGTATACAGCAGAGCACTGAACTTTTGAGTTATCACACAGGTTTGACCGAGAACACCCCTGCACTTACAGGCTATGCTTACTAGAGAAAACACGTGGCCAGGAAAAACACTTCTCACACACTGCCCTTCTGTAGTCTCTGGGATGCTAACAGTATAGCTCAAGAGGGGAGCTGTGTTAACGTTTGTAGTAGTGAACAGTGTGACACAATGTTTCCATAGAAAAAATTCTGCTTGTGTTGATTGGGAAAAAGCCTGTTTACTTCCTTGACTGCAAAGAAATTTCACAATTTCAATTTTAGCACTGTTGTACCAGAAACTCCCTTTGAAATTGTTAATGCTCCAGTGAGATCTTGCTTTCTGTTATTTGAGTCTGATATACATTATAGTCAGATTTTGGTCTTTTGTGACAGCAGCATAAACTCAGAATAAATCCTGTTGGGATCCTGGCCCATGGCCCTTCATTGGAGTAATTCCGTTGCAGGTGGCAACAGCATGTGGTCTTTTATGTTTTTAATAGTGGCTGTGAGATCCTCAAAGGATGAGCAATTTGTGTACGGCTCAAGTTCTCTTTCAACTAAAGCTTGATAATGACATTCTCACCCACAGTTAAAAAAAAAGAAGTGTAAGATACAGCAGTGCTCCAGGTCTGCAAACGGCTGCTCCATCATTGGGAGTCTGTGAGGGTCAGTGTTATCTGTAGGGATCTCAGCCCACAGGCAATACTGTCAAACTGAATTTTGCAGCTTAACGTACCTTTGGGGAACTAACTTTAGTGCCCCTAGGCACTTTGACAGTGTGTTAGTGGGGCCATAATTCCAGCAGCATTAATCAGACCCCAAGATGTAAAAGGGAATGATTCATAGAGAAACACTGTGTTCTCTCAGTCTGTCACTGTGGGAAGGCACTGGTAATGCATGAGAGGGATCTGTGATATTTTTCAGGTCACATGCTTAGGGATTTCCTCTGCAGCTTCAGGAAGGGTTTTATTTCTCTGCAGGAAGAAGTGACAGGGGTCCCTTGAAAGGAAAGGTAACGTTTCACAGGTTAAAATGTGGGTGTGAAGAACGACTGGCTAAGGGACTCTGTTCAGGCCGGCAGGGTGACTTGCCTGCACAAGCTTGTGTACTGAGACAGACTGGATCTGTTGTTGGATTTTAAGAGACTTTTGTCTTTTGCTTTAAAGAAAGCTGGGGAAAGCCAGTGTTGATGCTTAAGAAAAGAGCTGATGCACAGGACATCAGGGCTCTGTTCACAGTATTGCTGCAAATATTAATCCAGGGTCCATGGCAGATGTTCAAGCCTGGTCAGATGCTCTGGTGGGGCATTTGGTGACCACCGGTGGGGTGGTTAAGCATTGCTGAATGCCTGAGACGACTAACCCCATGCTGTGTGCAATTCTCACCCCCACTTCCTCCTCCATTTCTTTCTGCTCTCCTTTTGTTTATCTTTACTTGGTTAGCTTCCAGCCAAACACCAAGGAGCAGAGGAGTTCATTGTTCAGCACACTGAGGAGGAAGGCAGGGTTGCAGCCCTGGCTCCTATAGCATCAATACAAAATACCCGTAGCAGAGTCTGTTTCCTTCGTGGGACATAAGCTCTGCCCTGCTAGTCAGGCCTGTGATCAGTTTGGTTAGATAATCTGAATTGCTTGCTGTTTAAAAAGGCAGTAAGGGAGGGGAAGAGTTTGATATGGTCCTATCAAGAAATAGTGTGAAAACTAATTGCAGCTTGGGAAGGAATGGGACACCAGCATTGTGATCCAGGAATGGAAAATGTGGGCTGTGAGACAATGGAAAACTCCTTTTAGGAGATATGTACTTTTGACTTGTTCCAGAAAAGGGGTGGTGAACAAGTGAAGATGGTTTCAGTCACTTTTTATGTTCTCTGTTTTTGATCTAGGTCTGCTCCAGCTCCTACCCAAGGTCCCACCAGTGCTGGTGCTGCAGGGCCACCTCCTGCTACCAATGTGTCAAGCAACAAACGGCTGCAGCAGACACAAGCCCGGGTGGATGAGGTAAGGGGCTCTAGGTGATTTGTTGCTCACCACAAGGGTGCTGATGTGATTATTTTTTTTTTCTTTAAGATGCTTTCCTCCGTAGTGATCCAGCACCTCCTGCTTGTCTGAAGGCAGTGGATCTAGGAAATGAGGTTTATCAAAGGACAGCATTTATGAGGAGACAGGTAGTAGAAGAGAGATTCTGAGTATGAACATCCTCGTACCAGTAACACTTCTGCAGAATAAACATGGGCATTGGTGCCAATTCAGGAATTCATCCCAGTCAGCCAGGTTTGGAGGAAATGGTATAGTGGAACCAGCTCTTTTAACGTGTTCCTGCATTCCTAAAGATTAGATGCTAATCTCACAGGCTGTTTCACAGGGACAGACCATCGACTTCTCATAGATAGATTCAAGCCATGAGAATTGTACAGCTGAGGACTGTGTTCATTAGCCAGAGCTCTATTGATTAATCATCACAATTTATCCCCAAAGAAAGGCACCCATACATGATGTCATAACAGCATCTTCAACAAATCCCCACCCCTTTTGTTGGTCTTGGAGGACCACGTACCTGTTACCGCAGGGATCCTTAAATTCTTGTAGCATACAGACTACCCCACCAGCTCGGCTGTAATGCCAGTGTCCACCTAACTGCTGTGGTAACGGGAATTAGTGAGCATACCACCACTCATGAGTGTAGTCCCTGAGCGTACCAGTGGTACATAGCAGCTGTAGCATCCTTGCACACCTGCTGTGCAGGTTTGCATGCTGGGTATTAAGTATGAAGTTTTGCTAAACCCCTACAAAGACTTAAGTAACTAATTGCTTACTGTCCATGGGGAAGTGGCCAGGGCTTGTGTGATTCTTTAATGCTAATTCAATAAAATACACATTAGAAAATAGCTATTTACATTCATAAAGGCCTCTATTTTCAAAAGCTCCAGGGATGCTTTAAAAATAGTAGAGAAGACCTCACAACATCTAACTCAAATGCATTTCTTAAGATTAATTAAATACACCTGTCAAATTGAGCTTTGTCTTTTTGAGAACTTTTTCTTTGCTGAAGATCTGAAACAGAGTCTTTCTGGCCTCCCCACTGCTGATGCTCAGAGCAAGAGCATCCTCTGGCTGCAGAAATGGCTGCAGAAATTTCTAGGCCCGGTTCTCTCATTATCACTGATTTTCACATCACACTAACTTCATTGACATTAGTGGAGTGTCTCTTGCAGTGGGGAAAGGAATATAACATTTCAGCTTTTGTCTTGGGTCAGAATAATGAAATAAACTTCTTGTCCTGAACATACTACATCATGATAGTGCTGTAATTGTTTATGTGAGCTACAGCAAAACTAATTGTCCCTAGAAGATGAAACGTAATTGCTAGTTACTGTCTAAAACGAGTGATGCAGGTCAGATACATAGGACTTTTCAAGCAGATCAATGGAGGTGGCTCCAGTGAGGCTAGTGAACCCCCACTTTGTGTTTAAGATACTCTGTATTCTGAGACTTTTCACTCAAGCTCATGCAAGTTTGTTTTCTTGTGAAGCCTGATGGTGTAATTTTGGCAGAAACTCTTACCCAGTATGGGGGGACAGTGAGTAGCTCTTGGATTTGAGAATTATGCACGTGATAATCAGGGTCCACGCTTTTTTTCACCTCCCATTTGCGAGGGAGGCTGAGGTTGGTATGGGTTTTGAGTGGATAGCATATGGTCAGCAAATCCTTGTTTAATAGGGAAATCACAGTATAAGAATGGCCAAGGGAGAAACACGCACTGGGCTTTCAGTACCGTGAAGTCACTAGGGTGAAACTGGTTTATAGCACCTAAGGATCGATCTGTTAAGCATTGCTTTGACCTTCATACTAGATCTTTCCTCGTGTTTTTTCTTTCATGTGTTGTGGGAAAGTAATCTGTAGGTGGCACCAAACACCACAGCACAGCACTACACTCCTGCGGCTGTTCTGCTTGAAGTGGTGTTCTGCACAGCACTTCAGACCCAAACCCAAAACTCAGCAACACGATCGCGACTTTGCTTAAGAGAAAATTTTTGGTCAGAGTAAAATGACTGACATTTTTAATGCTATATCAATGCTGATATAGTATTTCAGCTACATCCAGGTTGGGTTTTCCCATCTGATTTCTCTAGGCATCCTAGAGCTTATTTTCTAAGGCTCGGATCTTGATTTTAGCCTAGACAAACATTTATTTATTTGACAAAAATGCAGTTTCATCTGGACAAGTGTTCACTGCAGTCAGGTTAAATTCAATAAATAGTTCTGGGCAAAAAAAAGGAGAGAATGAGTAGGAAATGTTACAGTATTTTGTTTCAGCATTTTAAAATAGTTTAAAATTTTCACTATGAAACATTTTACCAAGACAAAATTCAGCTAAATACTACCTGAGAAGTGAAAATAAAGGGGTTTTTTTATTTGATATGAAGTTAAATGCTTGGAAGGTTTTGGTTTGGAAAAGCAAGTAAGAAAATTTGGGTTGACCAAAACATTTGATTTTGTTTTAGGTTTGGTAGACAAGTGAAACAAATCTTTTGAGTTTTGGAATAGCATTTAACCCTATGCCAGTCCTTTCAAAGATTCTTTCACTACCAATTTCATCTCACTGTATTTAAATCATATATTTTTTTAATAGCTCTGGGTTTTTGCAGGTAATAGTTAAATTATATTAAATACAAACAACATGGACTTCCTTATTACAGAGTACGAGAAGTAATAGACCAGCAACTGTATTCACTGCTAAAATAAATGGACACAACTTTACTGAGATTGGTATACTGTATAACATTTACATTAGTGATGTTATGTGCAGGATTTCTATTTATTATTGGCTTGCTAGAAGAGGATTTTTGTTTAACTCAATGTATAAAATATATATGCATGAATGGGCCTTACCTATTGTGTACTGGCTGTGCACACTTTTTTTGCTGAGGCTGTGCAATGAGGTGGCATGAGCTCCCTGCTACACTTCAGGCTGAATTTTCTCAGGTAAAATTTTCTCCTCCTCCACTTTCAAGCAGGACTTCAAATTATGGCTGGGAAGTCATCTTATCCAAAAAAGATCTGCAGAATAAGTAAATTCCTTGGTCAGGAAATACATACAGTTCCCTTTAGAGTGGCCTTTATCTAGCCAATTTCTCTAGTTCAGGTAAAGAAATTATATTAAATGTATAAGGAAAATAATGGCTTGGTCTTGGTGATGACTGGACAAATTGTAGTAGAGGTACTGGTCTCTATCAGTTTTTTGTATCTATAGCGAAGTAGCTAGGTGTAGGCTAAAAGAAATCAAAAGCTTAATGAAACTAATTACAGTGTTTCATAATGATGTCCCTTTATTTGTTACCTTTAAGGGGATGTGAGCACAGTATAGCTATGTTCATCTTGTTCTCACTGTGTCTGTTTCCCTAGGCATGGTTTTTGAGGCACTGTCCAGGTAATTGCCATCACACACCATAATGGCAAATGGCTGGTTTCAGTATGATATGTGATATTCCAGAATGTGAACATATGGGTGACCTTCAGCTTTACTGTGTGTGGAATCTAACGTGAGGCTATGCCTTTGCAGGTGGTCGACATCATGAGAATGAACGTGGACAAGGTGCTAGAAAGAGATCAGAAGCTATCAGAGCTTGACAACCGGGCAGATGCATTGCAAGCAGGTGCCTCACAGTTTGAAACCAGTGCAGCCAAACTGAAGAGAAAATACTGGTGGAAAAATTGCAAGGTAAGGAATATAAATTCTTGTTAAGAATCACTTCATAGCAGACATTACTTTCACTTGCATTTAATGGGACTTTGCTTGCCGGATGACATCTCTTCTTGTCAAGGGGAGAAAGAGATGCCTTGCCCTCTAGGCTCCAGCATAATAAGTCAAGCAACTTTGATCTTTACCATAACCTATTCTTTAGATAATTCTGCAGCATATAAAATGTAGATACAAATTTTGATTCTTCAGTCAGTGCCTGCAGATAGGGATGGGAGAGCATTCCATGTTAATTCATGTCAGTTCCCTGTGTGAACCACAAAACCTGAACAGATGTAGTGAATTCTAGTAGTGGGAGAAAAGAAGCTTTTTCCTTGTGGGAGATCATCAGCCTCTTGATCTTTCTTTAGGCTGGTAAACTACCAAGAAAATACTTGGTTCCACAAACCTCTGTGAGAAGTGAGGAAATGACAGTCTCTTTTAAAGAAGGGCAGACTAGGATAGAGCAGGACTTTAATCAACCAGCTCTCTTCTCTGCTGTCTTCAAAGTCTCATCCTTTCCAACGAGCAGAGGGAACCTCACTCTCCTTTGCTTTTTCAGATCTCCTCCAGGATTTGTGTTTTCTGGACCCAGAACCTTCAGCTCCTCTTATTCATATAAGACCCCATATCCTTTCTTCTTTCTACTCATACACCAGCAACACGTGAACACTATGCCAAAAGTTCAGCTTCGTTTCCATTTCTCTTCAATACCATCTTTGCTGCTGATCATTCACATCCACCCAAATAAACCCAGCTGTTCCCAAAGGAGAATCCCACACGTATCTCTTACCAGTCTGTCGCCTACTTGGTCTCTTCAGTCCACAGTGCTATGAAATGTAAAGCAAGGCAAAATATTCTGGGTAAACTACATGCACAAACACTCCAGAAATAAGTGGATCTAGGTTAGAAATTCAACTAAGCAGTTCCTCTGGGCCTCTTCTAGCTGTTGCCCAGTTGCTTTGCCTGACAGTGCAGGAAACAGGGCTTTTGGGAGCTACAGACACAGATTTTGAGTTAGGTTCACCCATGCTGACTGCAGTCACCACAATGACCTACACTACACTAGACCTTCAAACCTATGCTCATTCTCCTTTCCTCACTGTCCCTTCCTGCTTTATACCCTGACAAACAGAATCCCCCTGTCCTTCCTCTGGCTCCCAAACTGTGGAAGGAGGGAGAAAAACAAATAAATCTCCTGCAAGCTAATGGCTGGCTCTGTCCTCCAGACGTATGTTGGGAGGAATGAAGGCCTTGATTTGGCATATCCATATTTGTTGTTTTTTAGTCTTTCCGTTCTCACTGGGGTAATGATGGGAATTGGACTGCAGCATCTCTGGTGGCCTCATTAGCATTCAGCAAGTCTCATGTGCAGGCCTCTACCCCACACAACTCAGTGCTGGTATGGCCTGTGCACAGCTGGCTCTGATGTGTCTGTTCTTGTGGGAACAGATTGCAACTTTGTGATGAGCTACTTCCAGGCTAACACGCTCGAAACCATGCTGGCTAGCAGGGGCTACCTCCCTCAACAGCGCAAGTATGTAAAGCCAACACAAATAGCTGCTAGGCATTAGACATCTCCAGCTGTCTCTTCCCTGACTATGGCAACATGCTGAAAAGTGATCACGTTACTCTGGTATAAAATGGTATATGGCCATGTGTGAATCCAGTCACTTAAATAACCTCTGGAGTTGTTTTACTTTGGACGTTTACTTTTTCTTTACTGCTGGAAATGGATGAAGTTGGTCACTGCACCTTAGCTGACGGGCAAGAACTTGCTAACTTTGACAAGAGGCTATGTCCATTGCTGGTGGTCAGCTGTTCCTAAAATTGACACTAAATCTGGGGCCTTAACAAGTCTGTTGAAGTCAGCCTTTGCAAGAATTAAAAGTGCAAGGAATGAGCCACTAAGTAAAAGCAAAAAAAACTGAGGGGTTAATGTCTTTCATGTGAAAACCTGACTTTCTTTTTTTTTTTTTCTCATAACTTTCCTTTTACAGATGATGATCATCCTTGGTGTAGTATGCGCAGTCATTCTCATTATAATTATAAGTGAGTAATTCATTTTCTCTTTTGTTTATGATCTCCATAGCTCTGTGACTTACGAAGTGCTGATATATTAAAAAATAAAACATAACAAAAAATGGATATAAAAATATTTAAACTGATTAATTTGTGAAATTCCCCTTCTAGTGTCATCCTGTTATAGTGAGAATTACTGCAAACTCTCTGGACACTTATATAGGTAGAATTTGTTGACATTTAATGTATTTTAGATTGGCATGTTACATAACTTTCCTTAGGATTAAAGACTCTCCCTTTTCCTGTTTATATACATTTTTATGCAGTCTCAGATATCTTCCTTTCATTACAACCAGTGCCACAGCCCTACTGTTTTCTAGTGAGAACAGTAATGCTTGAATTAAGTCCTGCCTACAAAAAGAGGGTGAAGGCCCACAGGCAAACTGGCATCTGATGAATTTTTTTAAAAGCATGTAGGTGCCTAGTTCCCACCAAATCAGCTGGAATTTGAGATATTGGTGCTTCTGAAAATCCCTTTGCATCTTGAATATCTAAATATTGTTATGGCCCAAAGTCTTACTGATTTCTTGTCTCAAAAGATCATCTCATGCCACACATTTGTTATAGGAAAGATAGCATATGAATGGATAATAGCAGTCATGCTGGTTGGGAGCCAGGGATCTTGTAATGAGAGGAACTGAACATTTTATTTATGTAACCTCTGTGTTAGCAACAGCCATTATGTGACATAACTGTAATATGGCATTAACTCCTAAAAGGGAGATTTCTTGAGTTAGACAATCCAGCCAGTAACCCAGGGGAGATTCACCAGGAGGCTAGGCTGTGGATGTGAATTAATTCCCAGCTCTCAAATTACATGCCTTGTATTTGGCATGTTTCCATTTTCCTCTGTTGCTTCTGTAATCACCTGTAAACATGACTAAAGAGATTGAGATACATGTGGCAGTTTATTAGTCTTATGAATGCTGGCACCAGAGCGACCCAGAATAATTCTAGGGTTTCGTAACACTGATATGGCAAGAATGGGAAATGGCTAGATATTAATTAACTATATTAACTGGGTACTCGAGGCAACTGGCTCCAACAGAAAGATGGGCCTTTGTTCTGCAGTCTAGCGCAGCAACCTGGAATGACAGATGTGCAGCCATTGAACTGATTGCTGTGTATATATGCATCATTGAGCATTATGTGTATCTTAACAAGAAAGTAAAAAACAGACAAGATAGCTCATAATTTCTCTTTAGAAGTTAAGCCTGAAATTATATATAAGTAATAACATTCTTTCCCTCCTGGTTTTAAATGTTGGATGCCTGTCCTGGTAAGTTTAGAAACAGAAATAGCAGGTTTGACATGGCTTAGGTAGGGTTCAGGGTATTTAATCACAAACTTGAGTGTCACATCATCAAATCCAGGTCATGGCTCACCATAGTGAGATCTAGGGCAAGTCTGGTGAGATTTAAATGTATTTAAGCTCTGGATCTTAAATTATTTTTTCAGTCTATTTGATCTTTCTGTAATAGTGCCTAAAGGTTGCAGCTTCAGGAAGGACCCTGTGTATTGAACTCAGTGATGTATTTATTTACAGTAGCTCTCAAGTAGATGTTTAAATCCTGCTGACATCAAGTGTCCAAGTGCTGCCACAGACAAGGCCTGCTTGGCTTCTCCAGTCACTGATTTGAATGGGAACAAGATCATACCCTCCATGCAGGGCTGGCTATAGATGCAGATAAATTGGGTAGTTCCTCACAGCAGCAAGCTACCATGGGTGGTGAAATGGCCCAAGCCAGGATATCTGCCAACCTGGTAGTGGGGCCCTGGAAAAGCAGGCTGGCTCCCTGCTGAAGGAAGAGTTACAACATGTGGGACTGCAGGCATTGCTGGAGCTGGGGATGGCGGCTAACATCACCGTCAGTCCTTGCCCTTTGTATCTTTTGAGCCGCAGACTCCCCTGCTTTCCACTCCAGTTCTGAACTCTTTTTGACATGGGGGGGGCAGCCCCGTTCCAGCCAGGAAGGCACACTGTGTGCAAGACATGTCATGGTCTTTCAGCAAAGGTGTACTAAAGGTGTTTGCTGTCCTCTGACATCACAGCTTCTGTGAGATAAAGCGCAACAGTAACTCTGTAGTAACTGTTGGTTTATGTATTTTTTTTTCCCTTCTGTTTCCTTTCTCAGTTTATTTCTCCACTTGAAAAAGCGAAGAAGGAAGACTTGGCACAACTTTGTTCATATCAACCAACGATATCAGTGTTCCTTTGTTGAACTCCGCTTTTTAATTCCCGGTGTCTTGGGATTTTTGCTTGTAATAACCCATAAGCATTCAGTGTGGTGTGTTTTGGAATTCTGTTGTTTCCACAAGAAACTGTACCAGCTAAATACTGCCAAGTAGTTCCATACACTGTCTTATCACTGTGTCTTAAAATGTGTACGCACTGACCTTCAGAAACTGTAGTATATGAAAAGCATCCTAAACATCTCAGAATCAAAGAATGCAGCTATGGGGAAGCTCCTGCTTAAAGGGACACTGTCAGGTGGATTGGACCCAAATCTAAGGTTGCAGCAAACATTAGGGCCAAAATTCTCAATCTGAGCACCTAAAGTTGGATGGCAAAATCCACTATCAGATGTAACTTTTTGAGGTAGTGAGTATCTGCTACTCTCATTGAAGAGAGTGGTACCTACAAGTATTCATGTAAGACATTTTATTTCAACTTCGTCAACCAAACATGGATTTTTTGAGATTAGTTGTAGTATCCAAGTCTAAAAACATTACCTGCAGAAAATAAATAGGACTGGATTATCATCTTTTAAGGATTTAAATATTTTCTTATGGGGTGTTCCGTACAACCAGAATGGCCTCAATATGAAAGCCAGAAAGAAAACTGTGTGATAACCAAAAAAGCATTAGCTAGCACAATCTTGAAAAAGCCCAGTGAAATGCAAAAATGGTAATACAATCATCATAAATGACCAAGATACAGACTCTTGCTAAAAACTCAAGGCACTGTTTATCAGACTTCATGGGACTCTCTTGAATGCCAATGCCCAATACTTACGGCCCTAACTTAAAGCACATGAACAACTTTGGTGATGTCTGTGGCTTCCCAGCACAATTGTAGGAAGCTACCTCTGCACCATTTTGCAGAAATGGTCCCCACTGTGAGGACCGTTCAAAAATCAGGAAGAAGAAGGTATAGGTAAATAGAGGGAACAGTGGGGAGAGGCCGAGAAAGGGAACGGTACCTAGCAAAGCTTGCGTGGAGAAGAGGAAGGCAGAGAAACACTGTTCCAAATTGGTGGTGGTGTTAATAGGCTTTTTAAAAAATTAATTTAATTTGTGTGTGTGTATAGTTCATAAACTATAGTGTCGTCTTTGTAAAGTACTCAGCTATTTTTCATACTCAATTAGTTTAAATTAACATTTGATGTAAGAGAAATTATATATTGTGGTTTGAAAGTTCTCGTGTGCTATTGTTGTAGGCTTTCTCCCAAATGTTGAATTGCTTGTTTTTTCTTTTTTAAACACTGAATAGTTTAATCATAGTTAACCAAACTAAACATGAATTATCAAATTTTGAGCCAGGAAATTCTGAAAGGGTCTTTTTAAGATAACTCCTTCAGAATTTTTAAGAAGAATTTGTGCAATTTAAATTTTTTTTTTTTTGTCTGCAATTTAATTAGGGCATAGAAATGGTGATAATAGTAGTGTAAATATTCCCACTGTGGAGCATCTCTCTTGACATCGTCTTAGATTAAAAAAACAGAGATCCAGACCAGTTCATTGCAGTGGATGTATATACAAACTGTGGTTAAGTAGCATTTTGCAGAGAGAATAAGCAATGATCAGCTGAAAGGTTCCAGTTGCATTTTTTCCCTATATATTTATATATTTATTACTTTATAGTCACATGTACTGTTTCATATCATTAAAGCAAAGTGGCCACGGTCTTCATGAAACTTAACTTTCAAAGTTACTAATGTGCTATTGGACTGCCTGGTATGCCCTGTTCACTTCAGTCCTTCAGCTGAGCGAGTACATAAACAATTCTGAAATCCTCATGGGCCAGACAGAAAACTCTGCTGTCATGAAGGGCCTGACTCCATGAGGTGCCACAACTGAATGCTATGTATAATTGAGCCTTCGCTGGAAAAGGAATAAGCCGTCCAACTTCAGGACCCTTTTTAAACTACTAAGATACTCGGCTAGCTGATAGGAAAGAATTATCTCCTAACAGTGAGACCCTGCCACCCATACCCATGTTGAGCATGGCTTGATCTTCGCAGGGCTTCTTTACAGGAGTGCTGAAAGGAGTCGTGAGATGAAGATAGGTTTCACTGGAGATGGTACAATCAGTAAGGTTATATGCTGATACAGATCCTTAATGTAGACAGTGCCTTCTCCTATGGGAATCTGAACTGACTGCTTAACTGATACGGCTGCAAATACACATCAAAGAGTTTGAATCCTCTGGCTACAAAGATGCAAAGTTTCCACATGAAACTGTAATGAAACTGCTATAAGGATGCAAAGCTTACATCCTCCTAGCTAATGTATCTCAAGCAAGTAAATAATGAAAGTGGGAGCTTTAGGGGAGAGTGGCGAAGAGAAACTGCTGGTTGTGGAATGTGTACTCATTCTCCCTCAAAACAGTAACTAGGGTGGATGACTGCTAAATGCTGGTGAGAATTTGCAAGGAAAAGTTTAGTCGGGAAACCTAGCCTCTATTGGGTTGTAACATGTTTCTGAAGAGACAGTTTCCTCCTGTGTGCTAATGAAATATGCTAAATTAATGTGTTTAACTCTTTAAGTTGTTTGCATATAGCGTGCTCATGAATGCTCAATGTTTGCTAGTTGTGCTGTGCTGGTTGGTTGCCATCAGTAGGATAAGCTATGTAACATTTCTAATTCAGCCCAGGAAGCATGAACAAGTATGTCCTTCCCTGATGCACAGACCCAGAGTCGAACTGCTCCTGCGGAGGGTTAATTCTTCTGCAAGGAGAATATGGTAATATAGGACTGTTCAGGGTCATAGATTGTGCAACACTATCATGTATACGTAGACTGGTACAGAGGACAATCTATATAAACACAGTTGGAGATCTTATTTGTGTTGAAGCCAGGATTGATTGCTTTCCACTCACTGCCTCTACATTTAACATGTCCATGCAGTTACAACTGCCTACTTGTAATAGTAAATTTCCCGTGAAAATGTAAACTCATTCTCGTTTAGTCAGCACTGATTAGAATTTCAGTTACTGGGTGGAATTTCAACTACTACTCTTCATCACTGACTACTGCCTAGGCTTTTACCTTGGGCTGGTAAAAAGGCACAAAAGGGCTTCCTTTTACCCACTCCCCAGCAAACCCTCAGGGGACTGCAAGGCTGATTGCTTTCTGGCTGCCATCTTGGGGACTGAACTGAAGACTTCTCTGGCTAGAAGCAAGGATTTTGATAGCTTTAGCCAGAGTTAGACATTGTTTGAGACTTGCATATTCTATCCTTATAAGAAGCACTTCCTCTGATTTCTGGGTTACAGCTGTACAGCTAGGATGCTAGCATGATATGCCATTCAGAAGCAGCATAGCTGGAATGGGATGGTTAGGAGCTGGTCTGTGCTTGTGCCAGAGCTGCTGTTTGGCTTGCCAATGAGTGCACATCAGCTTCTAAGGTTGAAGAAGTGTTATTTGCATCCGCTCTCCACAGACTAGTAAGGTCCTGCTTGGGCATTACACCTTCTTCCTTCTAATTTAGCTCACCTTGCAATAACATAAATGTGGCTTTAAACCTAAAGAAATTGGTACACAGAACTTGCAGGAGCAAGTAGCGTGGAAGCCCAAACGGGGCACTTGACCTGATTTTCACCTGACATTATGTAACAGCACAGCCAATCCAACATAGTCCAACATAATCCAATATTATTAGAAGGAGGAGGGGAGAATCTGATAAAGATTCTGAATGTAACCTAGGGTCTGTAAGACAAGAAGTGATTTAGAAATGTAGTCAGTTTGATTTTTAAAGCTGGCACTTTAATTCTATTGGAACCTGCATGAGGTTAGTTCCGGGAACAGTTCAGGCAAGTAAAATACTTGGCTTTTTTCTTCTTAAATAGTGATCTGCAATAAGTGACTTAAACGCTCACAATGACAGAAGAACAGGACAGTATTAACTGTGCAAGGAATTAATTAGAACAGCCACAATCTGCTATGTTTTTGTCTGGGTAGCAAGACTTTTTGAAATTCTCCTGGTTCTGTGTCTCATTTCTGTCACTACTCCTCTGACAGGGCTTCACATAACTCTATGAACAGCTGAGCTACGTCTTGTCTGCATACAATGGATTTTAGCTCTTAAGAGCAAATTCATGACTTGACATCTGTGTTAGAGCATACCTGTAAAATGGTGATGTCTGCTTCTCAGAAGTGCATCAGAAACAGGACGACTCAATCTTCAGGAACTTTTAGAAGCTCAGATGTTACTCAACTCTTTCATGCTTTTACAAAGTGAGTTTTTTCTCTATTCCATGGGAGGTTATCCACATAGTGGGAGTATGTATAATCCATTATTTTTTTATGACAGCGCCTTGATCACACATGATCTCAACCCTGCTTCTCCTGCCCTTTCAACAGGGGAGAGGGCTAAACCAGTAGGCATATAAGGCACTGGGCTTGCTCCCAATGTACACAGTGAGTATTGGAGAAAGGCCTCAAAGAGACCAAAGTCTCGTTTGTCTGGATTCGTGTCCTGACCTGAACTTTAGACCCATAACAGATCATAGCCTTTGGTCCCCGGTGTAGTCAGAAGAGTGAGATGCTCTTCCAGCCAGTTCTTTCTCTCACCTGATTTAGGTCCCTCTTGCTAGATGAGGTACATTTGAGCGTGTGTTTCTTCATGCAAGAGAAAGCAGAAGCACCCTCAAATTACCTACTTTAACAGCAAAACCAAAAAAGGCCAAAGAATGTAGTTTGAAAAAAATGAATTGTGTCTAGAAAAATGATTGGCTAAAGATTTCTCAAATGGTGAAATTATTTTCAGGAGGGATACTAGACTGGGATGTATGAAACAATCAAACCAGAACCTCACATCAATTGTTCTTTCTTCATCTGGTCTCCTTCAGAAACACTTCTCTATTCCACTTCAAGAAAGGATTTTGTTTTCTTCTTCAGCTAATTTCCCTTCCTTATTTCATTAATGTATGTCTCCATTGATGTGCTCAGTACCTTTTTTTCTCCATTGAGAACCAGAAGACTGTCTGCCTTTAAACACATGCGTAAAAAGAGATCTGAGCCACCCAAGGAGTTTACCTTTCTTTCTGATGCACTGACATTTAAAAGCTACATCTTACAATAAAGCATAAAAACTGTGGCAGTCCAGTTATGTGCAGTTTTGGTGGAGTAAACACTTGATTATTCAACAATGAGTCATTTCTGCAGTAACCTCATTCTGTCATGACTGTATCACATCTGCTTACTCTCCAAAGAAAAAATCATAACCTGTACCAGTTTAAAACATGAATACAGCCTCGTGGTTCATACGTAACACTCTAGTCAACCAAAGAAGCCATGTGCTGTAAGTTTAAAAGGGCAAAGTAATTGTTCTCAAAGAGAAAATATCATAGAGAACAACAAAGATAATTATGAAAAAAGCTCCTCCATTCTTTAGCTCTTCTCACAGTGTCTGGCTTCTCCATTATTCTTCAAGTCTCTCTTCGCTCTCTTAGAAAGCCTTTGTGTATTTGGAGTGTAGT